TGGAAATTAAATTTGTAAAATTTCTGTAGATGTTTTAAAATGGTAACAACAATTACAAGGTTGAACAATGATTCAAGTTTAACTGTTTTTAAATTAAAAAATTCTGAAAAGCTAACCACTTTTGCTTATAAATACATGTTGTAAAATAAATATCCTTATATTCACCTTGACCTAGAGAAGGAAAGGTATCGGTTTAAATAAGTTTCCATTTTCAATTTATTCAAATTGTCTTTTAATGGATATATGCTTTTACTTATATCTAAATTTTTGCTCTAACACACACACGCATATATATATATATATATATATATATATATATATATATATATATATATATATATATATATACCGGATGTAACAACAACACTGTTTAATTGTTAGATTAAACTTTCAACCATTATATCTTACTATAATTTTCGCGGTTTTTATAACACTATTGGACTCTACTTTAAGCAATAAGAATGTATAATTACTCTCTAAGCTTAACAGAAGTATCGTGATGAAATCGATCATAAGCGAAAATGACATGCCCATCATTAATATATATATATATATATATATATATATATATATATATATATATGGTTGGATAGATGTGAGTTTGTGACCCTGGGTTTCACGCTTTAGCGATCGTCAGACAAACTGATTAATGTTTTAAAAAAAAATTTTCAAAAATTTTAAAATAAATATAAATAATAATAATTTTTACCTATCATAATTTTACACAAACCCCACCACACGTATATACATACATGCGAGGAAATATTTTTCAGCGGGATAATACATAATATGACATGTATACATTCACGAGACATTAACGAGACATTTCCGTCACACTTCCAATGTTTAAATTTCAACATTTCAACACACAAATGCGTATGTATAGATATAACACCACCTGTATACATACATGTGTCATAGCCGAAACTGCCCACATATGTTTATATATGTATGAGTCCCGACGGACGACCAAGTATGTATACGTTAGTATGATGAATGACAAAACGACGAAATTTCCCCCACCACTTCCACAATAACACCAATACACGCAATCTACATGAACCCAAGTTTTTTAAAACATTAATCAGTTTGTCCGACGATCACTAAAGCATGAAACCCAGGGTCACAAACTCACATCTATCCAACCAAATATGTTAGCTCTATCTCTGATATTGAGCGCTTTCTAATAAGTACCGCGCATATAATATATAAATAATTATACATATATATATTTATTTATATTTATATACACTTTTCACACACACACTCACATATATATATATATATATATATATATATATATATATATATATATATATACCGGGTGTAACAGGAAAATTTTACAAATAGTGTAACAGCATAATTTTGAATCCCACTAACAGTTGGCAACGTGTTCTTTGGTAAGTTGGCTTCACCGTCCTTCCTCCACACATGATTTCAATAATTATGACCAAACAACTCTATTTTAGTTTCATCTGTCCATAGTACATTTTCCCAAAACGAATATTCTTTATCCTTATGCTCTCTAACGAATTTTAGCCTAGTATCTCTGTGTCGTTTCAAGAGGAGGGGAGTCTTCCTTGGGATGCGTGATTTCAAACTGTTTTTGTGTAGTTCATTACTTATTGTACACTTGGTTACTTTAATCCCTAATGCACGCAGATGTTCCTGCAGCTCTTCTCGGGTAACCTGTGGATTTTGTTGGATCTGGCGTCCTAATATCCTTGCTGATCTTAGAGAAATCTTCCTCGGAGCACCTGTTCGTCTTTGGATTCGACGCTGTTCGTCTTTGGTTTTCGACGCTGTTACGAATTTTAAACCTTGCAATGAACGAAGCAATTGTAGTAAAAGGAATATTCAGGTTGTTAGAAATCGTTCTGTAACTGTTTCCATCTTTCCAAAGAGACAAAATATGTTGTTTTTGTAAAATAGTCAATTCTTTACCTTTAGGCATTATTAGAACCTTCTCGTAAGACTAGAAATTGCAGAATGCTCTGATAATGACTAATAGTGTTAACTCTAATTACTGATAACATTACTGGAACATTCGAGAATATACTTTTTTCATAATTAATTGATTATTTTATTCTAATAATTGATTTGTACGAATACTTTTTTCACCAGCTAGAATTAAAAAAATGCATTAATCTCTGTTAGAATAAGAATTAATTAAGTTTATTATTATTTTTTAATAGTATGTGTCTTTATACATAAAATGTGCCGAGATTTGTTTTATTTAAAGTTTTTACATTTATAAAAATAAAATTTTTCAAATGTACGAATATTTATTTTCCCCCACTGTATGCAATTTTTATATATATATATATATATATATATATATATATAAAGCTGTTATATATATATACTTTTGTTATATATATATATATGTGTGTGTGTGTGTGTGTGTGTGTGTGTGTGTGTGTGTGTGTGTGTGTGTGTGTATATTATGGGTGAACTGTGGCTAAGATCTAGCATCTGTCTACCCCACCTCTTACCAGAGCTACGGTTTTGTAGATGTGTATGTTGGAATGTGTTTGAATGTTTGTGTGTGTGTCTGTGTGTGTGCATGTGTCTGTGTGTTTGCGTGCGCGCAGTTGACATAAAGGGAGTGTCAAATTTTGTTTTAGCTGAATGGAAATTGGATAAGAGTAAGCAGAATGTGATTCATGGGCGCGTTTTCGCGTGTCTATTCATGTATACATTTATCTCAGTGAGTGAAACAAATCGTTAATTACCACTTCAACCCGAGCGCGCCGCCATTTTCTTTACCTGATAGAAACTGTGGTTGTGTTTGCTTCCTTTTTTATGCGAGAGCGTACATTGTTCGGTGAACCGGAAGTTATCCGGTATTGGACTATAAATTGCCAAGAGTAGTTACAGTGTATGGTTGGAGAGATGGAGAAACGAATGGTACAAAAGTCGATATACGATCAGTATCGGCTAGGTCACCGCGGAAAGGGGGTCTGATGTTGAAAGATCCCAAACCCCAAATGAAGCTCGGCTAGAAAAATCACTGATGATGTGTACGAAAGCGTCCAATCGATGTATTTTACGAAATGTAATTTGTTCCCTCCCATAACTATTTATATTCTAAAACTGGATTATGCAGGGTGCATGGATAATTATATTTAATTTTTATCTCAGGGGGCCAGGGCCTCCACACACAAAAACACTGAATTTTTTTCCCAATGACTTAAATTAAATTTAAATTTGAACAAGAAAATGACTCCTACTATACTTGAATAAGTATATTTCATTTTGATCAAAAGGCGCTCCTGAGTGGGGCACAAACCTCCACTAAAAATATTTTCCCTTTGATTTGATTTAAATTAAATTTAAATTTGAACAAAGGAATAATTACTATCCAAAATAAAATGGTGAAAAACCAGAAGATGAAGGTCACAATATGGACGTCATCAAGAAATCACCAGTCAGTGATTAGTGCCTTACAATACATATTTGTTGCGGCAATTCAACTCTTATATCAATGTTGAAAACTGCTCATCAATTTATTTAATGAAGTATTGCATCAAATACATATGAAAGGAGTCAGATCAAGCTGTTTTTTGCACAAACACCCCACAGAACGTTATTCCCTTTGATTGAAATTAAACTTAAATTTGAACAAGGGAATGATTCCTGTCCAAAATATAGGAGAAATCAAAAAGACGGAGGTCATATCGAAGGCGTCTGACACCAGTATTTTTCAACGGCGTTACTATAGTTGTATCTGCGATTACAAAGTCTCTACTACAACGAGCATTACAAAAGTGGCAACGAGTATTCGTTGACACCACAAAAGTGGCAACGAGTGTTCGTTGACATCACAAAATTGATTTAAAATCAATCATCATTTTCTTACAAAAAATGTGTGACACGCAATAAGCCGCGGGTAATTCGGCTAGTATATATAGCATTATAAAAAACACACACACACACACACACACACACACACACACGCAAGCACACACACACACACACAGATATATATATATATATATATATATATATATCAAGTATAGGATTGGTATATACGGAATAAATTCCAATAACCAACAAATACTATTCTTAATTAGTGCTCAATACAGTGTAGAGCAAATATAATTATTTATTCGAAAATTATAACAAAAATATGTAATAAAATCACTACAAAAATAGCCATTTTGTTTCAACACTTCTGGTGTCTTCTCAAGGGATGATGTTGAATGTGGAATAAAGGGTCAACCCTTTATTCGACATTCAACACCATCACTAGATGGATATTTTTGTAGTGATTTTATAACATATGTTATAATTTTCGAATAAATAATTATATATATATATATATATATATATAATGTTTTATGTGTACGTGCATGTGTGCTTGATAGAGTATGTGACTGATTTTCTATTTGTGGCCTTCTATCTATAAACATTGAGGAAGAAGACGGAAAAACATGTTTTATTCGTATGTAAATATTTTCCTGCGGGGTTTCTTCTGCATCTATGGAGATGAAACGCCCGTAAATGACAAGCAAAAGAAAAGGCCACTGAAAAGTACCTAAAATAAGAGAGTAAACAAAATTCAAAATCACAAGCAAAACTGCGTCGTGCGAGAAACGGAGAAGGAAAGGTGTAGGATATCGAAAGAAATAGCAAGTTTTCTGCACTGCTCTTTATTCTCTAAATATTAAACGTAAATATTTGACCCGAACTTTGCCTTTTCAAACGATACGCTTTTTAAAAGGCCATCCCTTTTTCTCGTATATTTTAAGCATTTATTCATGTAAAGGTCGATTTTTTTTACACGTGCATGTTATAGCAGAATATAATATTCCAAGAGAGTCGAATGGAATTTCTGTTATTTTATTAAAATCAAATCAATAATACTTATTAAAAAATATATATCTGAAACGTTGATGCCGTTCAATATCACAAAAACGTTTTTATTATTGTAATGTAATGGATTAAGTTACTTAACTGACTCAATTTATGCTTTTAATTTTGTGTTAACCTGCTCACGGCCGCATCACGTTGAAACATCGGTTCCCGTACTATCACAAAAGTTAAGCAATGTCGAGCTTAGTCAATACCTAGATGGGTGTCCACTTGGAAATACCAGGTGTTGTAAGCTTGTATGTGCGGAGGGTTTAATCGATAATGGCTCAGAATTGTTAATCGAATACCCGAGTTACAATTCCTGTTGCGTTCTTTATAAACACTTACGCGCAAATACTATTGAGAAAGGTATGAATCCACCTCTTCTCCCCAGCTATGGGTTAATTAGTAAGACTTGTATCATTAAATCATTATTATCTCTAAAAAAGTTCTTAGAATCTAAAATAGCCTTAAATAACTTTCAAAGGTTTTTTTTTTCTTTTATTAGGTGCCGTATGACTTCAGGGCGTATGCGATCATGGCTCTCCACCTCATCCGGTCTATTGTAGCTCTGGTTTTGTCCTTTTGTTATTTTTCCCAAATCCTTTTTTGTCATCCATTTGCTCGAGCCCATTACGATGAGCCTGGTCAGTACTTGGATGCGTCCGCTTGTGAATGTCAGATTCTGTAAGCTTGGGTGAGCTGGTTGTGTAATCCATATTGGCTGTTAATTGGAGAGCCGAGTTCCAATTCACGTTGATTTCTTCATACTACATAGTACTGAGAAAAAAGGACTGATGAACAGATATAGCATCCTGCATGATAGCCACATGAAAGTAAAGACCTGTCGAGGCTATTTAAAAGCATGATTACATTATAAGAACTGCAATGACAAAAATTCACTTCATACTCCTATGTAATTCATAACGAATGAAATATTCATTTTTGACGCTATCATTTTTTGACGCTATATATAACCAAAGATGATATCACTGTATGCATGTAAATCATGAATCTAGGTTTTCGAAGTAGATAATGGCTACTTTGTGCCGGGTTAACTAAATTTCTTCCATCACAAATTCTTTGAACATGAATGTGTCACCAAATATGAAATTATCTAAAACTTAAGATTTCAGATTTTATAGTTTCTCCTGGCTGAAGATAGCAACATACTCACAATAAAGATGAGAGGTTTTTAACCTAAAATTTCTTCATAAGATTCCATTTACTCTTAAATTTAATACTTTTATGCAAAATCCTTCCAACATTCACGGGCATTTACCTACGTTTAGGATATTTTTAATTAGAGAATATTTTTTAGATGGCGCCTAGCACGCAGCAACGTTGCAGAAATTACAAGAAAATATAACAAATCGTAATTAGAAGAAAATTCATTATTCGTTTATTAACTTTCCACTACAGAAAGCTAATTAATTTCTTTTTTTCCAAAACCTATTTCTGAAAACACTTCTTTGACAAATATAATCGATATTTTGGCAATAAATTTGACGATTTTAGAAAGCTGTAAACATACTCGGCGTTTTTAATGAACTCATATTCGTCAAACTTTGAAGTTTCCAGAACAGAACAAAATTAAACATAAACTTATTGATTAAATGTACTAAAAGACAAGAATTTTTATTTTATGGATTTTTGCAAATATGATTATATATATATATATATATATATATATATATATAAAAGGTTGACACACTTAGATAGATAGATAGATAGATAGATAGATAGATAGATAGATAGATAGATAGATAGATAGAAAGTTGGCACTGATATATATATATATATATATATATATATATATATATACACATTATTTCTTTGTTCTACATTCAACATCATCTCTTGATAAGACACCAGTAGTGTTGAAACAAAATGACTATTTTGTAGTGATTTTTATAACATATTTATGTTATAACTTTCGAATAAATTATATATATATATATATATATATATATATAGGAATGGGTAGTAAAAACATATATACTTTAAAAATGTTTGCACGAACATTAACTGCATGAAACTCCCCGTTGTGCTATCGACGTTGGTTGTTATGTATATTCACTAATACATACATATATATATATATATATATATATATATATATATATATATATATATATATAGAGAGAGAGAGAGAGAGAGAGAGAGAGAGAGAAGAGTTAACATTGATTTTCATACGGTCTGTGAATATGTATATACTGTATATAAAATGTGTATGTGTGTATGTGTGTGTGTGCGTGTGTGCGTGTTTGTGTATTTGTGATTGTGTGTGTACAGGGTGTATCAAAAATAATTTTTCTAAATTTGGTGGCGGGTTCCTCACACCAAACACGGACAAAACTCCATAGTAACATATGTCTTCAATACATTCGTTTTTGAGTTATTACGTTTGAAAAGTTTACGGTAGATCGCACTGAGTTACCATATGGACTAGGCTAAGTTTGTCATTCGTATACATTTTTGCCTAGTCTCTCTTCAACGTTTAACGTATGTAGTAGTGAGTTAACTAAGAAATGTTCAGTTTAACGATGGCAGGATATTCATATCGAGAACAGGCTTTACATACGTGATTTTTACATACAACCGTCGCACCACAAACTACGGATCAAGGAAGAACGGCCAAGAAGAACATATTCTACACACTGTCCGAGGCGATCCAGGTATCAGTACACATGACTTGGTCCTTGTATATATATATATATATATATATATATATATATATATATATATATATATCGTGGTTGCCAAATTGTGTCCCAGTACAGCCATTACTACATAATTTTTTAGAAGAATATCTACTGATGTGCTGAACGGATGTGACTCTTTAGCCCACCTAGGGACCTACATACTCTGGTACAAACAGGGCACTTAAGAGGTGCTACAGCGGGTGTTAAATTATTATGCAATTCAAAAAGTTGCGTGAAATCGCTTTTGGACCTGCACATCTTACCACAAATATCACATTTCAGTTGCTGGACGTTTACGGCTTTATAGCCAAATTGCCACCCTACGTCAGTGCGCTCTCAAGTGACTCCTTGACCAGCTATAGACAAGCAGACTCTAACACAATATGCACATAGAATTGTTATGTCGCTGAAAGGAAATTAAAATTATAAAAAAGGGAGGAAAACGAAGGGGAAATTTGCAGAATAAAAGTTAGAGAGGAAAAGTCGGTTTTGTTATAGAAGTAGAGATAGACCGATACCTGAGCAAAAAGAACAGGTTGTTTTTTTTTGTTTTTATTTTGTTTTTTTTCCTTTCTTTTCTTTCCCTTCCTCTTTAAAAGGTCTGGGAAATGTTAAATCGTCCAGCGCTAATTGGACGTGATGTCCCTTATGTTTATTTGCTAAGTAGGACCAACGGATGGTGTAAGGGAAATGGCGCTGGCCACGACCGATGTTGAAGGGACAACGCCAGAGAGCTGAACCTTGATGACTTCTTCTTTCCTTTTATTTCAAGTACGGAAAGATAGAGACAAGAGGTAACTCTAAACATCTTGGAAAGGGGTTGGTTAGAAACAAGATTTTCTTCGACCGGAAAATTTCGGTCAAGTGGATAAAAGAGGAAGAATTACAGACCAAATGTGAAAATTAGGAATAAAAAAAGCAGATAAAATGTCATTTTTTAAAATTAACACGTGCTTTGTGTGAGGCATCCATGAATCAGGTGGAACGCCTGATCCGTGGATGGCTGCAGCGTGAGGAACTGCTATGAAGAAGTTGCGGGGGGAATGAAAACACACACTGAAAGTTACTGGTACTGGTGAAAGAAAGAGGAGGGAGAACAAGATGGCATATCAATGTGTTGCTACTGCCACTCCTATATTTGGACATGCAAAATGCTTCCCAGCAGAGAGTTTTGACTGGATTTTAGGAAAATCGTGTAACCCCAGATCGCGTCGGAACCCACACTGATGTTGGGTGAGATCCATAAAAGCGTTAGATCAAGAGTAATTACAGAGACTATAGCAGCTGAGGCAGAGACGCGCTTATATTACACGAAGAGAAGACGATTGCTTCGCTGATTCCCATGTGATTTGCTGCCACGAGGAACTCCTGACTCATCCCTTGTTTTAGACTATTAGATAAATTGCGCAGAGTTCCCTGATGAAATTGCAAAGTGGAAGAATTGCAAGTCTCTCTCTATATAACGACTAAGAGAGAGAGAGAAAGAGAGAGAGAGAGGGAGACGAGTGCTTCGTCAGCATTCCGTAATTTGCTGCCTGAAGAATTCTCTGATTTAAAATTTGAAACCTTGACACCGATTTGGAAACGTTTTTGGCTTTGTTAAGATCAGAAATAAAGACACGTGAGAGGAATTGAATTAACCAAATATATTAACAGAAATAGTAATACAAACATATACAAACGAGAGTGTTACAACAAGAATGCTTTGTCCGACTGTCAGAGCTGACTGCTGGAAACTCCCCTCCCCAAAAAGGCAGTACCTGCTTTTATTTATAACTGGGAGAGTCCATGCGTGCGCGGGTAAATTAACGTATCTGAAATGAAGAACAAAATGTCACTAAATTAGTCTACGAGTGAATCAGCAACGCCCTGAATGAACATGACACAGAAGATTCCGAATAGTTCTTTTTTTCTGGGTCAGTACACAGTATCTAGTCTAATTAGACTGGTAGTTGTTTCACTTGATATTTTCCGTATATTCTTCAACTTTCTGGCCAAGTTGGAAAGCTCTATCCTCGACATTGTATTTAAGACAATTATTTATATATTTGAGATTCCAAGTTGTTTTTATTTTTCAGGTTACGTCAGAAAAAAAACATTGTTATCGTAAGTGTTGTCATTGTAATTTTCACTGCATTTGAAATTTCGTGTTATTTTTCTTTCTGGACCATAAACAAGATCATTTTTTTTTTTTTTTTCTTTTTTTGTCTGTCTCGCAATAATAGCTGGCCACTCGTATTCGAGGACACCCGTCTACTAAGGCGGCTAGTCAATCCCTATTGCAGACTCTCGCTCAGATACATTTGTTTTTGTTCGACAACCACAAAACCAACCTGTGGTTTATAATACAATTATGCTAAGCAGACCTTAGTTACAGTTTCTGGGAGAGAGCATGTTATCTAGAATGATCAACAATCTGAACACGAGCACAATTAAACCCTCGATCACGATGACTTGTGACTTCGTGCTAGCACAGCTATAAACAACCCTAAGAGTTCAGTCTACCCAATTTCCCTCACAAGCCTTCGGTCAATCCGTGGTATGGTTTT